AAAAAAAAAAAAAAGAAATAAAAAAAAGAAAAAAGATGGGTATGGCATAGTGGAAAAACAGCATGGACTAAATATGGATTCATGTTGGACAAAATTGGAATGCAGTGCTCATTCTGACTGACAATGTCACTTGCTAGCTTTATGGCATTGCTAATCTGTATAACTGTTTGTCTGTATAATGGGTACCAATAGAAGACTGCCTGCCTGAGGGTTACTGAGACAAGAAACTGGAAAGCCCTTTGTGGGCTGCAAGCTTTGTGAACCTTTTTGTGGGTTCTACCATTAATTCTTAAATGAGCAACAGAGTTGGTTTCAGCCATTATCATTGATGACTTACGCTGGGAAGAAAAATAAAAATTAGAAAATAAACAGGAAGCTGGGCATGGTGGCACACGCCTGTAATCCCAGCACTCAGGAGGCTGAGGCAGAAGGATCTCTGTGAGTTTGAGACCAGCCTGGGCTACATAGTTAGTTCCAGGTCAGTCTCAACTACATAGTGAGGCCCTGTCTCAAAAAAACAAAAAACAAACAAAAAACAACAACAACAAAAAGAAAACAGGTGCCAATCAAGTGGCCCAGCTTCACCTTGACCCAACTGAGTCACTTTGAACATAGGACACATGCATTGCTCTGCAGGAGTCTTTGGAGGATAGTGATAATGCAGGAATGGCAAATGGCTGGGCCAAGTTTTGGAGCGCAAACTGTTTGTTTATACATAAGGAAATCAAGAACATTTGTCCTCCTCTTCCGTAGTAGTATCAGTCACAGCAAGATCCAGTAAGAGGGGAAGAAAAAAGAATTGCAGTATCTACTGATAACATGAGCCACTGACCCTCCAACCTTCACCTCAGCAGCAGAAGACTCCTCAATCTGTATGACCTTGGGCTGATCATTTCGACTCTGGCCTCTCTTCACCTGCCTGCTGGGGACGCTAAGATAGCCCTCCCTTCCTGGTTACTGTGTGAGCCTCAAGTGAGGTCATGTATTTGAAAGACTTTGGTAAACAGTGACTGTTTACAAAGCTGTCAACATGTGAATAATCGGTAAGTAGGTGAGATAAATATGAAGGCAATGCAAGGACAATCCATTTTGGGGGCCCTACGGGGCAGAAGTTTCAGTTTAAAAACAACCGGGGGGCCAGAGATTAACTCAGTGGTTCCGCTGCCTGCCATGCAAGTGCAAGGACCCAAGCTCCATCCCAGGTACCAATAAATAAATATATACATACATACATACATATACATACATACATACAACCAGGGCTGATAATGCCTTTTAGGAACTGATGCAACCACAGGGAGAGAGAGGGCGCTAGATTAGGGTTGAGTTTTGGGACTGTACACAACAGCTTTGAGATTTTAGGTTTGAATCCTACTTGCATCACTAATGGTGACAATTTGCATACTCTTAGGCAATTTATTTAATCTCTCTGGGCCTGCCTTTTCTCTATAGCAGGAGAATAACAACAGCATCCACCTTTCTGGAGTTGTTATGTTGATTACTGAGATAATGCCCTTAAAACAATCTGCACAATGCCTGGCTCAGTTTTCTGCTACAGATGTCAGTTGTACTTTCAGTACATTGGTGGGCCGAGGAAGGCAAAAGGGAGAGAGTGAATGTTTTAACTCAGAAGTTATTTCAGTGGCTCTGCCACGGCTGTATGCCATGTGTCCTTCTCACCTAATGAAATATATCAACATTGTCCACATTAGCAAGAACTGGAACATCATAGGAGAAAGAACAGTATTATCAGGTATGGGAGAGGTAAGAGAAGTGGTTGCTTTTGCTTCACTTTTTGTCACAATATCCTTTGCATGGGTATTATGACTCTTTTTTTTTTTTTTTTTTGCTTTGGTAAAGTTAAAACAAAAAAAAGCTTTTTGTGTGGTAGCTTTTGACTGTGAGGATGCCTTAAAGATCAGAAGTCTCAGGAAGTAGAGACAGAAGTCTGCAACTTACAGAGAAGTCAGATGTTAGAGTGACAGATTCTCATCGCAGTGAGGAGCTCCCTCCTGGGAACTGACTGCACCTTCTCAAATACAGAAGGCGCTGCAGTAGGATACAGCTCTTACCTTTCTCCCCCCACTTGCTTGTCCTGCAACCAGCTGGGCCTGCCATGGCTTCAGCCCTTGCTCCTGGGTGTCTTTCACCTCTGCTCCAGTGTTCTACAAATCACTTCCACCACCTCTGCTCAATATGATCTCCTTCCAGAGTCCTTGTTATCTGAGTCTATCATCTTCATTCTTTTCCTCACAGCATTTGTATGCTATCTAAAAATCATCTCTTTCGCTTACGTGTTTACTGTGTGCCTTTCTTTCTATAGAAGAAGGTAAGCACTATTAGACAAGAGACATTGTTCCACTTGGCCACACAATCTTTAGCCTAGAACACTGGCAGGGCACTGAGGAAGTATTTGTCAATAAAGGAACTACCAAATACATGACAATTGCTACTGATGGGGAAGGGCCAGATCAGAAGTGTCCCAGGCCCCAGCTGACTGAAAAGGGGATGTGCTAGACCTTGACCAAACTGCAGACCTTTTGGCCAAAGAACAACTGGTAGCCAAGGCCAAGCTGTAGGTAGTGGTTGGTATGAGACTATGCCAATAGCAGAAACATTTAGTTTGGTATCAACATTAGCATCGCGCATCTGTAAGCATATGCCTGCTGGTTGAATATGGATGGCCCTTTGGATCTGAGGACTTGACTCTGGGGCAGTAATGGGTATAAGCGCTAAAAACCACACAGTTCCCAAAATAAAAAAATAAAAGACAAAATCTACTGCATAACAATAATCCCAGAAGTCTGAGAGGATGAGGCAGGAGTATCACAGATTCACTCTCTGGCTGAGCGATTTAATGAGACCTTGTCTTAAAATGAAAGAAAGAAAGAAAGAAATCTAGCTCAAGGGAAATAAATTCTTGGGAAATTTTAGAGCTCCTTTTGATTCAACCCACAGTTTTGGGATCAAGTCCTCTAACAGGATGAACAAGCTTCAGTGCGTATCGCGTCGTGTACACATGCCCGAGTGGCAGTAATGAACACAAAGCAGAATGAAGAGCAAAGTAGCACCAAGCTCTCTCAGAGGACCAAAGGGATTCAGATCAGCCAGGAGAGACTCTGGCCTGGTATTTCTATCAAAGTAAAGTACATCCCGTAGATATACACATGTACACCCCAGCCAACTGGAGTAACCTCTCCAGCCCCCAGCTATCACAGTCAGTGGCT